TGTGTGTGTGTGTGTGTGTGTGTGTGTGTGTGTGTGTGTGTGTGTGTGTTGTGGGGGTGTAGCTGGGCCCTGGGCCAGGCTGTCCTCAGGGTGGGCGGGAGGGAGACATGGAGGCCCAGGGCACCAGTGGGGAATAGGGGCGGGTGCCTCACCCGCCTGCAGGAGAAGGGGGGCCCTTGCTTCTCCTCTCTGTGTGCACTGTCAGCACAGATGTGGCCCAGGGCTCGGGGGAGGGAGAGCGCCAGCTTTTCAAGAATGGGCTATCCTGCCCCCAGTGGTGGGAGGCACAGAGAGGAAGGGAGGGCTGTGCTCCCATGTGGTTGGGAACCCGTGAGCCATGTTTCCTGCCAGAAGAGGGTCACTGAAGGGCAGGCTGGGCACAAGGCGAGATCAGCGGGTGATTCTGCAGCTGAGACGCCCGGGCCCAGAGCACTGCCCCTTACACAGGGAGTCAGCTGCCCCTGCCCGCCGGTCCTGGTACCAGTTTGAACAACCTGTGGGTAGAACCAGAGGCCGCCCAGCTGGAGGGTCCCGATCCTGGCTGTGCTGGCTTGGCCCCTCTTGCTTTGGGCAGATGCGCAGGGTGTGGTGGGCTCCCTGAGCGTGCATGTCAGATGGGCTCCCCTGCCCACGGTACCCATGCTAGCCCTGGACCCTGGTGGTGTTTGCAGGCGTGACTGAGGCGACTGCCCTTACCTGACCGCCCTCTGGACAAGCCTGGGCTGAGGGCATTTGGGGACAGCGTGCCCTGTAGGGCTTCCGTAGGGGTCTTGGTGGCCTGGAGGTGGGCGGGCACACGCTATGGGTGCCTGAGGCAGGGTGCTCCCAGGGCCTGCGGTGGGCGGAAATGTGGCCCCCCTTGGGGTCCTGATGGTGTTCTCTCCACTGCCACCTCCAGCAGAGAAGTACGTGGCGGAGGAGGAGCAGGGATGTGGGGGGAGACCCTGAGGTGGGGGAGTTGGCCTTGCTGGGCCCAGGAAAGGCCGGGGGCCCCTTGGTGGCTCTTCAGAGGGACCGTCCCCCTGCACTGGGTGTCTCCCAGCCCCGGAGTCTTGCCTCAGCTCTGTGTGGCACTGGGGGGCGGGGGGGGGGTGCGCCCCTCCCCCACGGTGGGGGCCCGGGTGGGCCTTGGGCCTGCGGGGCTGGATCAGCAGCAGGAAGGCGGACACCACAGACTGTTTGTGTTGGCAGAGCCTCCCCCTCCTCAGAGCCGCCTCAGAACTCTGCCGGGGGCCCAGGGCAGGAGGCTGTGCTCTGCAATGCCTGCGGTCCGCCGTCCCCCCAGATCTCCCCTCTGGGGCTCAGGGTATGCCACGCCCTTGGCAACCTCCCATCATTGTTTAGGCTTTTGGGGTGGTTCCTCTTGGAGTGGGACCTGGGTCTGGCCAGGTGGGTGCCCACAGCCTTCTCACGGCTTATGCCCCCCTAGGGCCCCCCAGCTGCTCGCAAACCCCAGAGCCCTGGCGAGTCAGGAAGACCCAGCCCAGGACTGTAGGTGTGTTTCCTTGGGGCGCTCCCTCAGCCCGTCCCTGATGCTGCTGCAGCTACCCTTCAGGGGGGTACAGGCGTGTCACACCCTGCATTCAAAGGAAGCCCAGAGCAGGCAATGGGAGGGAGGCTTCCTGGAGGAGAGGCGGGACTGGAGGGAGAGATGGAGCCCGCCCTGGTCCTGTCTGGTCCCCACACTCTGCCCCAGCAGCAGGCTTGTGTCTGGGTGGCCCTAGATGGGAGTGAGAGGCTCTGGACTCGTAGAGGGGCACTGTGGGAGCCAGAAGGGCTAGAGATCATCTATGGAGGGGCCGGGGCTGCTAAGGGGGTGAGGGCTGTCAGTGTGGCTGGGCAGTGGTCTCCTCCAGCCTTGGCTTCGTGTTGGCCATGGGACTTCCTCATTTTGGGGGCCCAGGAGGGTTGGGGGGCTGCTGCTGGATCTGCCCTTTAGGCCCTGCCTGGGAGGCCCATCCCCACCAATGCCCAGGTCTTGGGGTGTGGGGGCATGGTGGGGTACGGTGCATGGTTTTTAGCTTCTAGAATGTTGCTGTGGGTTTTGGGCCCCATAACTCCTGGAGTGGGAGTTATCAAGGGAAGTGGATGAGGTGTGTTCCCTCCCCTGCCACCCCCCACCCCCCAATGCACTGCCCTTGCTACTTTCTGGGCCCTCCCTGGCTGCTCCATCCCTGGGCACGGGGACTGCCAAGGGATCGCAGGTGCATCCTCTCCTCACCAAGGTTCTGGGGAGGACAGGTCACCTGCAGACCTCCATCTGCTCACTGGCCTGCTGTCAGCCCTGGACATAGTTTGGTGGACTGGAGGGGGTGGGCTGCCCCTGGGAGGATGGGCATGGGGGCGGACACCGCCCATGGTGACGTTTTGAACCCTGTGGTCCCCTCTGCCCTTGGGCTGTGGGAAGACCGCTGCCACCCCTGCTCCCGGGCTGGAAGGAGCACCTGCTGTGAGGAGGGAGAGGTGGGGGTCCTGACTAGGACGCCTTCAGACACCTGCCCCGTGAGCTTGGGGTCCCCTCCTTGAAGCCTCTGGCTGGTGGAGAGGACAGAATCCTCCCACGAATGCCGGTGGCAGGGGAACGGGCCTGGTGAGTCATCACCGGCCATCTGGGTGGGGGGAGAGTGAGGTTGGTGGCTCAGGGCGCACATGTGCTTGGAGCCCAGGAATGGGTGCGCTGCGGGCCATCTTGGGGGAAGTGGACACCGAAGGCTGGACGTCTGGGGTTCAGGCCGTGTCCCCCACATGGCCTGAACACGTATGTTCTCTGTACGCACAGACCCTACGTGCGCTGCCTCTGTGTGTGCGTGCAAGCCTGCCTCCCTCCCTGGGCACCTTGGGTCGGGAGCAAAGCCCTCTTTGAACCCCCCTCCCCGCCCCTGTTCTGGTCCCCTGCGTCTGACAGTGCACCCCTACCTGGCCCCCAGCTGCCCTCTCTGGCCCTTGTAGGGACATGGTCCTGCGTGGAGGGCTGTTCCTCCTTCCCGAGGTACCTGGCCAGCCTCTGGGAGCCCCACAGTCAGTACCACGTGGTCTCCACTGTGCCCATCTTTCCTTGCATAGGGCTCCAGCCTGCCTTGGCTGACCTGACCGCTGGGGACCCGAGCACCACCTGGCTTCTTTCCCGTGGCAAGCGCAGGTATGTCACGGTCTGGCGGGGCAGTAGTGGAGCTGACTTGCACGGCCTTGTGGGCTCCTCCACTCCTGGCCCAGGGCCCTGTCAGCTGGATGTTTGCCTGGTCCCCGCGCAGACGGTCTCCTGAACATGTCTCCCTGGGCCCCACCTGCTGGAGGAAGGGGACTCCTGTGTGGGAGAGGCTGGACAGGGTCCCTGATGCTGGGCGGATGCATTGAGGGCAGCCCCCCCTTCTGGCTTCAGCTCTGATGGACCTGTGTCCTCATTCCAACTGGCCCCAGGACCCTTGGATGAATTTTCCAATTTTATTTCAGATCAGACTGTCCTACTTACCTGCAGGGGGCTGCAGGGTTTTGCAGATGGGATGTTTGGGAGATGTTGGGATGGTGACAGCTGGGTGACACAGAGGTGAGAGCACCCTGGGCGCTGGAGCCCGCTCCAGCGTGATGAAGAGGTTCCGAGGGGGGCTCAACGGGGAGTCCTGCCCATCTCTGCTCTCCTCCCAGCCTTGGCCAAGCCCACTTCCTCACCCTCAGAGGCCCTGCCCAGGGAGCCAGGCCAAGGGAGACAGCCTCCTGCTCCTCAGGCTTCCGCCCCCCCCCTCCCCCTCCCCCCACAAGCCGGCAGTAGGTTTCCTTCTGCCCTGGAGGCCCATGTGCCTCCCTGAGTGTGTCTGACCCCTGCCCCGCTTGTGGGGGTGCTGCTTGGGGGGTGAGATGGGGTGAGGCTCAACCTGGATCCTCCCTTGGCCCGCGTGCGCCACAAGTGCACTCACACGTGCTCCCACACGACCTCCAAGTGTCCACCCTCTGGCAGGGCTGTGGAGCCGGCCGACTCGGGCCACGGTGGCGCCAGGGTCTCGAAGGCGCCGCTTGTTCCCTGAGCAGAGCGTGGGTAGAGGTTTTTGTAGTGCGGGGGGGGGGGGGGGCGGCGCCGTGGCGTCCCTTTCCTGGGGCCCAGACACACCAAAGCACACTTGGGGTTGGGAAGGGTAGAGGGGCTGTGGGAAACCTCAGGCTAGCCAGCTGGGTGACACAGCTGGAGTCTGGGACTCTCCTGTCCCCACTGCTGCCAGGGCCAGCTCTGCTCTGGGGGAACCGCCTTCAGACGCTGCCCTGAGGCCTGGAGCTGCAGTTCTATGAAGGACCTTCAGGGGGCGGCAGAGGGCTGATGCTAGGGGTTCTCAGGGCCCCGCAAGGCTGCCAGACCTCGTTGGGCCCTCGGCCCTCGCTGGGTCCTCGCCCTCGCTGGGCCCTGGGCCTCCAAACAGCCGTGCTCCGCTTGCTGACAACCCCAGACCCGCCTCCCTCACTGCTCAGCCGGTCAATATGTCCCCTTGTCAGTATCCCTTCCCCTGCACCCTTGCCTCCCCCGCCCCCACCATCTTCCTCTCCCTCCCATCTCTGCCCTCTGAGCTCTGTTGCCCAACGCTCAGGAATCCTGCCAGCACTTCCCTCTTTGGACTTCAGTGTCTGGAACTGTCTGCTGGGTGGACACTGCCAGGGGACCCCCGTGGTGACCTGGTAGAGGCCTTGGCTACAGCCCAAGCCCAGGGTGCAGGGCACAGACCCCAGGCCCAGAGCGCCGAGGGGAGGAGGCTCAGCTCTTTCTTGGACAGGAAGGGGGCATCTGGCTTACGTGCTGCTGTCTGCCCCCAACACCAGGGGGCCCAGAGACCCTGCTGCCCCTACCAGTGGGCGCAGCTGAGGGGACGTTTGTCCCCATCTGTGATTGTGTGTGTCCCTGGAGACCGTTCCTGACGCACGTGTGTCTGTACCCCAGCATGCACGCACACCCCGAGTGACAGTCTGAGGGTGTGTGTCCCAGGGTGTGTGCGAGTCACCCTGGGAGTGTGGGAGCTGGGCGTGGGTCCACGTCTGCACTTGAGTGTGGGAGGTGCAGGGTCTGACTTGTAGCCCAGGCTGGTGCGAAATAAGACCGGAGGCCCCTTCAGAACTCATCAGTAATTTCAAGACAGTGGCAGCGGTCTTCTGTGTGACTGCGCTGTCACAGGCTGCGGAAACCAGCCCTTCTCCCAACCCTGGAGAAGCAGGACCAGGGGAGGGTCAGCCTGCCCTGGCCCACTGAACAAGCCGTAGGAGTTGAGGTCCGGGCCCGTTTTCAGGTGCCTAGTGACACCCCTGCCCTGTTGTGTGCTTGGGCCCCTCCCTGTGGGTCTGAAAGCCTCCCTGTTTCTTGCAGAGTGACTTGTCTTCCTACCTCCTGGGCACCCTCTCCACTTGGCCTTCCCTGCCCCAGCCCCTCTCGGGGGCAGTCCCGCCTCCTCCCCCAGCAAGGTATCCCCCCCCTCCCCAGGGTGGGTAATCCAGTCTGATTCCTGTCCCGACAGAGGCCTCTCCCCATCTAAGGTGTGAGCTGCGGGGCCTCTGGGGTCCTGGCACGGGTGTCGCCGGCCCAGGCTGGGAGTGTGGGAAGCTGCTTGAGAGTGCGCACCCCAGGCGCTGTTCCGGGCTTTGTAGTCTCGCTCCGGGCGGGGAACCCAAGTCGAAGCTGCCCCAGGTCATCACCAGAAAGCAACTGGGTCACCCCTTCATTTGCATAGCGCCCTGCATCTCGAGGGCGGTCGCAGGTCTCCAGGCCCGGCGGGGGGCAGTGCGGCCGCGGCGGTAGATTGGCGGGGGGGGGATCCCCTCGTTCCCGGGGCTGAGAGCTGCCTGGGGCTCCGCCCTCGGCCCCCTCCGACGCTGTCCCTGCCGTTCGAGAGCGTCTTCCTCCCGGGCCCGGGGAAGGCAAGAGCAAGGGGCGCCAGCGCGGGCGGGGCGGGGTCGGGCCGTCGCCCCGGTGCCGCGATTGGCCGGCGCCGGCGGAGCGGTGGGATTTGCGGGGCGGGGCGGCGGGCAGGGGAGGGCAGGGGAGGGGTCCGCAGGGCGGTGCGGCGAGGTGGGAAGGGGTGCGCGGGCGAGGCGGGCGCGGATTGGCGGGGCTGAGGGGAACCGGGCGGGGGGCCGGGGGCGCGGGGCGGGGCGGGGGGGGGGGGAGCGTCATCGGGGGGCGGGGCCGGCGCCGATTGGCGGACGGGCGCGGGGCGGGGGCCGGGGCTGCGGCGCGGGGGACCCGGGCAGGTGTGCCGGGCAGCCGCCGGGGCGGAGCAGAGCGGAGCGGCGCGCCCGGCTGCCACCGCGGGGCCGGGGCCGAGGCCGGGGCCCCGGGGGGGATGCGGCATTCCGGGGCGGTGGGCGCGGGGCGCTGAGCCCGGCGGCGGCCCCTGCGCGATGCGCCGCTCGAGCACGGACGAGTCCACGTACCGGCGCAGCCCGTCGCCGGAGGGCAAGGAGCCGGGCTTCGCGCGCGACGGCCCCTTCCGGCGCTACAGCAGCCTGTACGGGCGCGCGGGCGCCGGGGACGGCGGGGACGGCGGCCCCTTCTTCGGCCTGCACGCCAGCCCCGGCCCCAAGGCGGCCCAGGCGCGCTACACGTCGCCCAAGGGCAACAAGTACGTGGTCTTCTACCTGGACCTCTCCTTCATCTTCCTCCTAGAGTTGAAGCGCTGCGGCATGGCGCGCGGCTGCCTCCAGGGCGTCAAGTTCCTCATGTTCGCCTTCAACCTGCTCTTCTGGGTGAGTGGCGGGGCCCGGGAGCGAGCTGGAGTCGCTGCTCCAGCCGGGATGGGGGGCGAGGCGCCGGGACGCAGACGGGCCCGGCTGTGCGCGCAGGGTCGCGGCTCCTGCCAGGGGCCAGGGCGGGAGCGGCCGCGGGGGGCGGGGGCGGGTTTTCGGTCCCGCGAGGCTCTGGCCGAGGCTCTGCGGTCGGGGCCGCTGCCCGCGTCTTGTCCCCTCTCCTCCTGAGACCGGACGTGTCCCGCACCTGCGCGCGGGACAGGACGGCAGGGCGCCCACATTCCAACGCTGGTCGTGGCCGGCCGTGCGCTGGAGCTGATGCCTCCCTTCCCTTCCCTCCCCTCCCACCGCGCAGCGGGCGTCCTTTCTTCGACCCGCACACACCCCCTCCCCGTCCTCAGTGGACTGACCAAGTAGGCCCAAGGACCGGGGTTCTAAAGGGGCTGTTGGGGGCCAGGTGGACCCGTCCATCGTCTGGAGGCCGTGGAAGGGAGGGGTGTGTGCAGCGGTTCGTGGGAAGGGAGGGGGTGCGCAGCGGTGAGTTCTCTGGCTGGGCCTCTCACTGAGCAGGATGGTGGGCCACCAAGTGTGCTAGGGACGTGTCTGGCGTCCCTGCTGGCTCTTCTTCCTGCATG